AAAGAGTTGGGAGGGAGGGAGGTAGGGTCCGTAGGGAAGGACGACGGAGGTTGGAACTGTTTTCCAGCAGAAAATGCTGGCGCGGTGGCACGCTGCTGCGGTTTTTTTCTCTTTTTTTTGGAAGTGCCACGGGTTTCTAATCTGCTGCGCCATTCTTTTCTTTTTTTTTTGAAATGTGTGGTGGAGTCACTTGATTGTGGTAATGGAGCTCACAGTAGAATCTTGGAATTCTTGAATGCATCTGGCTGCAGTTACCGTACAAAAGTCTCTGCCAAAAAACAAAGTCCGACAGTAGTGTGAGTATGATGCCCTGAGCCGTTCTAGTTGCTTCCGACAACGTGCTCTCTCTCTCTCTCTCTCTCTCTCTCTCACACACACACACACACACACACACACACACACACACACACACACACTGAATGGTTTGAGAGGAGGATTATCTGCTAGGCCCTCTGCCTATCGATATGTGTACAGGGTCCCGCCCTTACCTTGTGGTTCCCCCCTTACCCCCCTTTTTTTGTGTCTACACCAGAGAGCTTGTGATTCGAGCCTCGAATTGGCCAGGCTGAGTGAAGGCCTCCGGATACTCCCCCCCAATCCGGAATGGGATCCTACCCGGACTCCCACTGAGAAACAAGGTACTCCCGTGCCCAATTCGCCCCCCTCTTTTTTTTGGAACCCTCCCTGGTCCCAGGTGTCTTCCTCAAACCCGTCTTGTTCCTTTGCGCCTTACGACAATTGATCCCTGAATAAATGCAACTTCGGTGTTTTCACTCCTCCTCTCCATCGACCGGCCTTTCGTGAGGGATTGTGGGCCCACATTGTCGGCGCGCATCTTGTGTGAGGACAACTTGAGCCACGATCCCTCCCGACTTGCTCATGCAAGAGCTCTCTGTGATTCTCGTAACTGTTCTATGTGCCTATGCGAGCTGTTGCGTTTACACCATCGCTGGGCTCCTGCTCTTATGACTCAGCACTAAGTGACCTGCGCTGCGTATTCCGCTGGAATTGTGCCTCCTTGCTATTTGTTTCGTGCGACCTCCTTGCGTAGCTCTGGTGACCGCGAGATTCGGCGAGAATACTCCCACTCCTCGTGTATTCGCAACTTGGGGCTGTATTGCTGATGTGGCGCACACGAAGGACATTGCGGGAGATTCGTCTCGCCCCCGCTTGGTGCTGCACTATGGCGCCTGGAGCGGTAATGCGATCTGTGTCCTTTTGCCCTACGTCCCACCTCCCAGTGCTCCCACCCCCTGACCCGCCACCATGCACCCTGTCCTATGCCAATCCCTCCTCTGATCTATCTCTTTGGAGTCTGGGTTATGCCCGTGGAGACTCCTGCCCCTTTCAGTACGGTATGAGGGAGGTTCTGTTCTCTGAAGATCCGGCATTGTGGAGGTCGGTGAAAAGTACTTAAGGGCGTGTTCCATCGCCCTCCTATCATACGTTGGCATAATGGGGCCACTTGACGGAAATGGGATTTCACTTCTCCTCTCCTTTTCT